TGGTATTGAGAGAAGAGTGATGCCCCTGTAGTTATCGCACTTGCTGAGATCGCCTTTCTTTGGTATCTTGATCAGAAGTCCTTTTTTCCAGTCTGTTGGTACTTGTTCTTCATCACAAATCTTACTGAAGAGGATATGGAGTATCACTTACGTTTGTCGGTTCTGATACTCCTCTTCACTAGCTTGTTTACTTCTGTGTATTGGGCTTGTGTCTTGGCCTTTTCTGCTCTCCTTTGACTGGCATTGATTGCTACCTTCCTGTTCCTTTCTTCTTCAATCTTATCCAGTGTACGAACAGTGATCCATTCCTTGTGATGGTGCTTCTTTTGGCCCAGAACCTTCTGACATGTTGAAATGATTGCCTCCTTGTTCCCTTACCAGTTGTTTTCCGTAGTAGTTCCCCCTCCATCTAGTGGATCGTGAAAGGCCTGGAACCTATTGTTGAGGGCTATCTTGAATTTGTATCTCAAAGTAAACCCCTATTAAACTTTTGTGATGTTACCCGCCTCAGTGTCCATTACTTCTTGAGTTTTAATTTCATCTTGGCAACCAACAGGTGATGATCTGATGCTATATCAGCTCATTTCCTGGTTCCAACCCTTCATCGTCCTTCTGAAGATTTTGCTAATGCAAATATGGTCATATTGGTTCTGTGTAGTGTGGCCCGGGGAAGTTCATGTGGTTATATGAATGAGTTTGTGTGCCACCTATGACCAGTTTATTGAAGGCACATAGGTTTGCAAATTTCTCACCATTTTTGTTCATTTTTCCCAGTCCATGTCGTTCCACGATATCTTCAAATCCGGTGTTGTCCATTCCAACCTTGACGTTTAAATCTCCTATCAGAATGGTCAGGTACTGCGTTGGGCACTTCCCGACGATTGACTGCAACCTATCGTAGAATTGATCTTTAACGTCTTCATTGTAGTCGTTGGTAGGAGCATAGCATTGGATGACGTTCATTGTAATGCTTTTCTTCTCTCTTCATAGTGGAAATCATGAGTCAATTGAAGCTAGACCACCACAGAAAACCTGGAAGCATTGAATAGCTGTTTCTTCCTATTATGGGACTTCTCAGCAGTGTGCATCCATGATCCCGCACCCACGAGATTCGAACCCAGGATCTGCCAGCTTCGAGCAGGAGCACTTAACCGATAGACCAATGAGCCGGCATCCAACTGTGTTAATGTCTAACTTCAACTGATCCACGAAGTTGAGTGCTGTCGAATGTTGAGTGTTGTTTTGAAGGAGGCTTTGATGATCCTTGGTTCATGAGATTCCTATCCTACAAGTGCATTTTTTGCTTGTTTGGACGGCATCAATGCAACTCCTTGTGTATGTGGAGCACATTGCACGAGTATTCCATATACCTATAAACATTGTCGCTCTGGTCATTAGAAGGTGCATCGGTCTCATGACTTCCGAAGGAACTCGCATACATCATGAGGCGTCATAATTATTCGTTCAACTCCCAGGACAGAGTTTAAATAGTTTGAGTAATTTTTTCTGGTTAGCGTTTTTTGTAGCGAGTTGGTTTTCTACGAGATGGGGTGGCTAACTTCATGCCAAGCCCTCCTCCTTTATCCGGGTTTGGGACAGGCAGTAACCCCCGGAGGAGCTACAGACGGAGTTAGTGTCCATAGAACAGTACATTTATTCCACAAATGAGATTTTTTGTCTTTTCTGGTGAAAAATAATCGAATTAATGTGCCATACAAATGATTAACTCCTTAAAAGTACATAATTTATAATCAACATGTGTTCTTGTTTACTTGATAATGTCGTATTTCATGTGAACTGATTTACTCAGGAAAATGTAACCAATGGCATTTACATCTTGAAGATAATTAATTTTCCACTGAAAGCCATTCTCCGAACACCGAATCATGGTAAAGTATAAAGAAAGCAATAAAAAGTGAAAGAACTCTTAGTAACGAAATAACCATATGTCCAAATTTTCGTGTAACGCGATATGATAAATAAAGTACTTTGATCCAATGACGTTTTGAAATGTACCAAAGCATTCTAAATATCTTATGTTGCTCAAGGAAGTGTGATGTTGGGGTTGTTTGTGAGAAAATGAAACTAAATTTGGGGAAAACAATGTGGTGTTGGTCATTTGCAAAAGATTTTACAGAATGTAACGTGTAGTCAAAACTAATCATCGTGCTATTCGGATAAAGGTGATTGGCGTCAGGTCTCCTCCATAGCGAAATAAAAAAAATTGGACAGTTTTGCTATCGTTATCAGTAAACCGATTTTTTTGATCTGCTTCATGGCACAATTGATAGAACAGTCAAACCAGATAGGACTTTTCCTCCTTTAACCCTATATAGAACTCGTGAACAATAGATTTAAGTATCCTTAGTATATTTTATGTTTTCAAACCTCCCGTACCTAGGCTTACAAGCTCGTTAAAATGTGAGTTTGTGTCAGTCGTTACACACTAGTGGAAATGCGACTACAAATAAGTAGATCGTATCAGGTTCACCAAAAAAATGTATGCATTACAATTTAAATAATTAAACGTATTAATTTTTTTCATATCAAGCACTTCGAAACAAATATGCAATCCAAATTACAGTAATTAATCACAAAAATCGAAAATATAACAGGAACGAAACTCTAACTTTTATCTTCGGATAAGAAAAAGAGAATTCAGCGAAGAAAATTTTCTTTTCGACGAAATCATTTACTTAAGCTGTACATTTGTATATATAGTAATATGGAAAATATATGTCTATAGGAGGCTAGAAAAGATTGCATTATAAATGGATTCGACAATAAATAACAAATGAGGTGACGTACTAATCAAGGGGTAAGGAAGAAAATAATTTATGGGTCAGATAATAGTTCAATTAACAGATATGAAGAAGAGCGACAAACACAAAGGTCATAATAATAATAATCTGAGTAATAATCAAGAAAACTTGTATAAGGTAATAATAATAATAACTGATTAGAGATTAAATGTAAAGTAGTAATTTAAAAAACAAAAAACCGATAATAATCAGATAAAAGTACAAAAAACAAAAAAACAAAAAACGTACCCAATGAGGGAATTAGGGCCAAGGAAGGGTAAGAGGTTGGACAAATCGTTTCTGCACGCAAAGTTCAGGCTTGAATTCATGGATTGCCAATGCCTCAGCAGTGCATAAAATATTGATTCGACCTCCCTTTGATCCGGTTCCTTTAACTCTATAGATTATTTTAAAACACGTCTCTTTGGAGCAATGTGTCCGCAATTGATCAAGTGCTCTTGTATCGAACTGGTTATCTTCTTACATTCACCTTTTAGGAGCCAAGCTGGATAGTGTTCAGAGATACGTTTGGAAAGCGATCGCTTTGTGCGGCCTATATAACATGCTCTTCGGATTAATGAAGGCATATCCGGGACTAAAGTTGGACAGAAAATCTGAAACCACGTCTTAAACGTTTTGTAAACAGAAGACAAGGAAAATGATAATGAAGAAGACGATCAACGAGAAGAATATTGGCATTGTAAGTGAGCCAGAACGGATGAGTGTAAATTTGTTGGGCAGAATATTTGACTGACGAGAGAAACATATCATGAGGGAATTTCAGCAGATGTCTTTATTTGCTGTTAAGGGTTGCGGAGGTTCTTGAATTTCATTGAGGTCATAAACCGATCAATAGGAACCTGAAAGCACTGAACGGCCGTTTTGTACTAGTGTGGAACTCTCTGGATTGCACATCGACCACTCCTAATTCATAATGATCTCAATGAAAATCAACAATCTCCACAACTTCAAACTGAAAATTGCTATGTGTTCACTAGTGAATAGCTTCGAGAGATGACTCTAAGAGTACGAGTGAGAAACCGCGACCAGTAAAGTTCAACCATGTTCGGTGTGAGTAAGTTGCACACCGTAGACGATGGATGATGGTCGCACAACATCACGGATTCGTTGGAGTTAAATATGAAGACCGTAGGATCCCGACTCAATGACAAAGGTATTAATCGCTCTTGCAAGAGACCGAATAACCGTCCAGCGCTTTCAGGTTTCCATTGGCGGTCAGCAAAACCTTTGGGTTAATTTCAGGTATATACGTTTACCAAAACCAATACGGGTTCTCATCAACAATGAAAATTGTTTATTCATTAGAAATTTAGTCAGCCACGTTATAATAACAAAATGATTTCGGTCCTGTTGGTTCCCCCAAAGCCTAAGTTACTAAATAACGGATGTTGGCAAATGGTGGACTAACAAAGCCTTGTAATATTACAGGAAAAGTGGGAAGAGAGTGGTTAGAAACCAGTCGATTTGTGCACTGCCGTTGAAAATTCACTGGATATCGAAAACGCCTGAAGTTTTATGTAAATATATTACTATGGAAGTATACACATCCCCATAGCAAATAGATTTGTAAGTATCCGACGTTGATACTGGCCCCATTAGTTTAACTGGACACACACTAGTTGAAGGCGTTCGGTAAAGCATCTGCACCAGATCACAAGTGGGTACGTCGTGCTACGCCAGCATTTCAACTACTAGCCATCCTAGACTAAACTCTTCTTGACATATCGATAGCTCTCAAAATCCATCTTCAAACCCATTTCTTTCTTATCTCCGATTGACATACTTCTATTGCAAAACTCCTACGTGTAAAGACGTGGTGACTTCGAAATTTTCTGGCATCCTTACCCATATCGTTGCTTTAAATAAGACTAATAATTAAACTGCAGTATACGAGGTTAAGTGTCATATTGCCTAGACACCACTTCCTGTCCACTCTAAAAAATGTAATTGCAGATGGAAACAATCATTTTGTATTCCAACTACTTATGGCAGTTTAAACTCGAAGTTTCGCCTCCGCAATGTTGTTCGTCAATTCTGTAATTTGTTCTGATTCAAGGTTTAACAACTAAGAACTTCTAAAACATTTTATTCTATGTGATTAAATTTCTGATCTCAAGCTAGAATATTATTGTTACGTTTGTACTGGATGTTGAACTATCTCATATTTGTTAAGACGAATGTTGCTAAGGTCAGCTATAGCGCCGCGTAATATAAGTTTTCAACATATTTCATCCTTTAACGTGGACGCATTTTTGCTTGCAAATAGATAGCAATAAGTTCAATTATACTTTTATAAAGTTCCACTTTACTACAATGGATGATATTGTTCATGTAAATGTGTGAAATATTTGTTGTTATTTTGTTAATTGAATAGATTAAAGATTCTGTTAGTCCTGAATTTCTCTCTTCAGAAGTTCATATAAAAACACTTGAAGATACATCTTCTGATGAGGAAAACATACCAGAAGATGAAGGGGGGTCAGAGTTGAAAGATAGTTTGAATGTCTGCCAACCTGTTCTTAGACTAATTGATGAAGAAAACCTACTCATTCTTCCTCCGGAAGACCAAGAAGAGAAAAGTGAGACCGATACAGCATTGTACGACGGTTGTGGTGAAGTTAAAAAGTCATCGAGTATGTTGTTTATTACTTAATGTGGTGATAGATGAAGCCATGACAAATAAACCTGAAACTCCACTTAAGTCACCACCTGAAGGTCAAGTTTGCAAGAAAAAAAGAAAAAAGAAGTAATCTGATCATTTCAAAAAAGATTTATAATTTTTTGCAGACATCTCGTTGTCAACCTTTCAAACTGTAAATATGAATCAGGTCTGTTCAAAGCTTAAATCAGTAACAACCAATCACATCTATTATTAAATATTGATGTTTGTTTGAGAGAAAACTATTTTTTGTTTTGTAAACAAAAGCATTGTAGATGAGTATGCAGCATAGTTTAAAAATTTTTTGAAGATTGTTTGAATTTTGAAGACAACAAACTCCTATAAAACTACCACTTTCTGAATCACACTCTGTACAGAAACTGTATATTTTTTTCACCTAGATATAGCATATTTTTTCCTTGTATGGGGTTTCAGGTTTCAAATATGGTTTATGAAGAAGGGAGAACCCAATTTATCGTAATGAATTTTATTATTCCACTAAATTTTACGTTTGACACTACAGAAATTGTTAAATAAAGTGCTGATTTTCGATCAAACTTTATAAATTATATCATTTACTAATCTATTGAAAATTGACAGAGCAATATATTTTGACGATGCTGACAGATACGTTTGGATTTTTCTAGATTCTAATCTGTATGAAATATTGCACAAACTAGTGGCTATTAGGACTCAGTAGCTAAGTGAATAATGTGATGGCGTTTGATGCGAACTGTATACTGTTCTAATCTTGGAATGAACATCAACTCTAAGATGCAGGCACATCCATTTGACAAGTCCCAAATATGGAGAGGCTCGCGTCCCGGATTCCACTGATAGCCATCATCATCTCTGCTTATAACTTTATAACTGTCGAAATGCAACAGTGCAACGTCTTTGACCAACAGGATGCTGATGTGGTCCACATATTACTAAGTGAACTCTTTGGTTGGAGGCTTGAAGGTCAATAGAGCTAGCAGTTGGACACTTAAATCGGCACTGCTCGAGAATTCAGTGTAATTTATTATGTAAACTCTTAAAGACCTTTAAGCAAATTACATCATATTTTTCTATATCGTTCACATCACACCACAGTTCGTTTTGAGTCTTTTATGCTTAGTTTTACTTTTTCACGCCCTTGGCAGTTGGTGAAAGTTTTACAAACTCACTACTCCGGCTGCGAATACTATATTTACTTTTAACACTCAAACAAAAGGCTATAGTAAAATGGAAGTCCAAATGTTTTTTCAAATCATAAAGAAACTATTGTGATAGACGTTTTACCCGAGAAAAAAATTCAACAGGGAAGACCCCAGTGGTACAAGAGGACGGTCAGCGGTTACAAAGTTCATTAGTTTAGGAGTGATATTTTTCAACAAACTTTATATAATTTGACACTATAATAAACACTCATAAAAATTTAAGCGAATTTTTTGGCAGAAATGAAGTGTGAAGTACCACGGTCACTCAAGTATGCAAGCGTCACTATGAAACAGACAAACTGTCAACAAATTACGTTCTCGCTTGAATTAAAATCTGCTTTTTAAAGACATAAAAATATTATTCATTATTTAGTTTACTTTAAACTGACTTCCGACACTACAAAATGCTTATGTATGTTTCGTTATAACTCCCTGATTATGTGACCGACTTTTGTCTATTATTTTAGTACGTAGAGTTCTGAAACGATTTGGCTTCCGAGAAACTGAAGATGAGGAAGACTGGTGTCTTTATTGGACCGATTATTCAGTTACTATTGATAAAGTTCTGGTTATGAAACAGTGGCAGGTATGTGCTAAAATACTTTTGTAGAAAAAATGATAGTTGTTTATGGAGTACAAGTAAATTCTCTAAACCAATGTACCTCTCAAAGTGTTTGATATCAAGAGAGGTTATTTAAGACACTGCATTTATTGTAAATGGCCTTTCTCTTTAATTGCTGGTTCTTATTTTCTGTTAAATTGTTAAGTAATATAAAAGGTGTCTCAGTGTTTCTAAATAAATACTGGATTTTTTTATCGTAGTTATTTGCAAGTCAAATTACTCCTGACTGATAACAGGTGACGTTAAAACGTACCTAAGCTTACCGTTTTATCCACAGTTTGAGTTGCTGCGTAAAGCACTTCTGATTAGTATGAATTGATGTGTTTTAAACTTTTGAGACACTTTGAGTGCTGATATAGCGCTATAAAAGAAAGTATCTGACAACGTACATCAGTAAATAATAGAGTTAACTAGAAAAAAGGAAGAACAGGCTAGTTAAATAAAAAATATTCCATTTTGTATACACAATATAAAGTTGTAGCATTGGCAGGTTGACTTCTATTTCGAGCCACTCAAATAATAACCTCTACAAAGGAAGTTGAATAAATAAAATACACTTATTCTAAGGTCAAAAAATCAGTATTATCTATCGATTTGACTGTCAAAATCCAATTTTTACTTTAAATTACCTAACTAAAGTTTCACTGAAATCTGGAAACCTTTATTATTGACCTTTCCAGATTGAAAACATTTTGCAAAGCATCAAATGAGAAAATAAGAGTACTTTCAGGACTAAATTAACATAATTTTATACTTAACCCTTATCCATTCATCAGTTGTGTCTAATTGTTGCATTCATTATGATATAATAAAATAAAAACATAGATTATTTAAGAACATATGCGTCAAAGGTTTATCAGTTATAAACTTCGTATTTAATGGACGTCATTTATTACTTGGAAATAAACAAAAATCATGTATGATCACACAAAAACTGTGAAACAAATAATTGTTACAAATTAACAAGGTTTAAGTCATAACTATTATATAAGTATGAACTACATCACATGAATAATTCATTTAAACTAGGATGAACACAATAAACACCAACAAATTTGCTCCAAAATATAAAATACAACCTCAAAATAAAAGTGCAAGAGACTAAGTATAACTAACTGATACTACTTATAACAACTGCAATATAAACGGTTAATTTTATGTTGAGTGTTATTTATTGTTCTGTATTTTACCTTATATATTTTTTTTTAATCAGTAATTTTAAGACAGACTGCACAAACAATAGTATATCGGCTTAAGTTGTCATAATTTTATTCCACAGTGAAAGTACAAACTAGCAGAAGTAACAATTAATTGAGATGGTGATGGGTTACGAAAAACTTAACACAATAACCGGTTTTGCAAGTTTAGCACTCGGCTCTGTAATGATTTTTAGTGATAACCTATGATAAAGAATTAATTATTTCAAATCATTCAATGGTTTAAGGATATTTGCTGAAACCACCGATAATTACTTGTCATTAACAAGGTTTAACAAGAGAAGTATCTTTATACAGCTGATTTTAAATGTAAATAAATAAGTAGCTAAACTGTCTTTTTTTATTTCTTATTTAAAACTTATAGAAAATAAATCATTTTCCTGGAATGTCTGAAATTTGTCGAAAAGATAGTTTAGCACGTAATTTAAATAGAATGATTAGATTATTTCCGAAAGACTATAATATATTTCCAAAAACTTGGTGTCTTCCATCAGAGTAAGTTGAATTTTTACCATTATTGTATGTTTACGCTAAGTTATGGTGCATTTTATAATGGTTTTTAAAATAATTAATTGTTTTCACCACTATCAAACTATATTTCAGGAAAACTCATGCATAACCATATATGGATGTTTTTCATTTGTACTTTCTATAATATAAGACTGATGGTGGATTCAATCTAAATTATTTAGTCATTTTTCATTGGAAGAATGTAAAAAATAAAATTCATCTGGTGAATTCCAAGAAATAGAAGGGAACCAACAAATTATAAACTGAATTACAAAAATAACTAATCAAAACGCTAATGTACTTTCAAAATTACCAAAATAAAATGCATAAAGATTTAGATAGAGTTTTCAAGAAGTGACATTTCAACGATTTGAATAACTACCATAACTACATCTCAAAACAGGTTACCAGTGAATATATTTAAGTAACAGTCACAATGGTCAGATAGCGCTTTTCAAAAGCTGACTCGATCTCTTTACAATCTGAATATTTTACTGATATGATGTTTAAAAATCCCGAAATATATTGTAGCGCCCTGCTTCGTTAATCGTTCACCTCGATAACCGTTATAATAGAAATCTTAACAGTGCATGAAGTCAGAAGGCAAAGAGAAGCGGCAGCTACAGTTTTATTGACAAATGACGCAGGTCAGAAAGTTATAAGCACATGAGCAAATATCAGCAAGCGAAGCATAAATGACACGCATTGAAGATGGCGGATAAGCCAACTCGCTTTAATCAAGCCTTTATCAATATTTATAGTCAGAAAGAATAAGTTACAGACATATGATGAATAGGATAAGAAGTGTACACACATACGCTCATATAAAAAATAGTCAGGGTTAATAAGTGAATAATTAACAAGGTCAAAAGATGACTCAAGGTGGATAGTTAAATTGGCTTGTTCAGGAGCTAGAATAAAGTATATGGGCTTAACATATCAACTGCCACTACAATAGTAAAGAACATGTTGAACATTGCCAAATTTCTCTCAATAGTTTATTTTATGATGACCGTTACTAAGATTTATCACAACATTCCAACTCATTTAATGATAGTGATTATTTTTGTCTTCAGTTAACATTTCCTTAATTTTTTTCTAGTTGGAATGATATTCAGAATTATGCTAGGAAGCATAAAAGTAAAACGTTTATTATAAAACCAGATAATGGATGTCAAGGTCGTGGTATTTATATCACTAAAAATGCTAAAGATATTCGACCAGTGGAAAATATGATTTGCCAAGTGTACATATCCAGAGTAAATGTTACCAGTTGCTATTGTTATTGTTATTATTATTGGTATTTTGAATAGAATTTATTAGTTTCTCTATCAGTGACTTGTAGTGCATTTCTACGTTGACATTATCCAATTCTGTGCTTCCTGAATATATATGAAGAAATTTCTGCTTTACACAAAGAGACAAAACATGACAAATACCTGACCATATAAAAAAACGAACTACTTAAAAAAGACTAAATAAAGCGTCTTGCAATTTGCCAAGTATAAAAATAAGCTTTGTAAACTGAGTGAGCTTTTGGTGAGTCACAGTAAGCTCGAAAACATTTTCTGAAGGATGTAATAAATTTAGATTTCGGATCTAATGCTATGGCATACTGATATTGAAATTATTACTAGTCAAAACAATCATCAATTTATATCTGAACAACTGTATTAAGAGAAAGAAATCGCCAAAATCTATCACAGTTGTCTTTTTGATAGGTAAATACAAATATAGCCTGGTTCAACAGTGGTGTTAAATGATGTAAATTAAAAGAAAATTCCTAGCCTATGTACAGATTTTATCACTCACCAATTCACCAGATCTTATTGGACTTTTAACATAAATAAAATGGTCAATTTATTTAAGTACATCATTCTTTATTGTCAGCATAGGCTTTGGTCTAGAACTTCAGACATTCCTGTATTGCTAATTATGGGGCTAAGAAGACTCAACATTTTTCAATGTCCCTATCAAACAGATCATCATTGTGTGACTTCTGAAATTCAATGCAAAAATATTTCCTTAAAAATTCAGACACATGAAGAGTGACTTCTAGAATCATACAACAAAATTAAACATAAGCGCGAAAAGCAAACAACTCAGAGTGATAATACTTGATTGAATCAATTGACAGGATAATTATTAATTATATTAAATCAATTGACAATGTTAAGATATGACAAATATCTGTTATAAGTCTATTACAACCGAAAAGGTCTCTCTATCGACGTCGTTTAATTTTACCCACAGCTTTGATTAACATTTTTGATTATTGTTATAACGTATGGACTCGTAATATATATGAACGTGCAATTAGAGAGGAGTGAATTTTACTGATCGGACGCGAATGATGATACTTGAAATCGTACGAGCAGTCTTGAGTGCTATTTTGGCCCTGCTGTATGCCTAGCCCAGCCAGTTAAGTCCACAACACAAATAACAGCCTCGGCAATATGAATCATTATTTACAAACATACTGGGTTTTTATACAAACCAAAGTAATCAATAAACTGATTATAACTCATGAATCGTATGATAATAAAACAAATATCAAAATAAAGCTAATGATAAGGGAAACACGAATATGAATAGTTTAGTTACGTAACAATTGGAAATAGGCATAATACATTGGTCGATAAATAGTCCTTAGAGTTACCATTCACAATTCACCAGGGTATATAACAATTATTAAAATAGTCACTTTCAGGAAGCAATATAAATATATTTATCTGATCTGTTGATATATAACAGCATTTGTTTAGTTAATACATTCTCTCTCTCTTTATACATTACATAATACATAGAGAAATGTGTGTTGCAAATGTATTGAAGAACTGCATTTATGTGAAATAATAATTAGAATGATTCATTGTTGATAAATATGATTATGTTAACGTTGCTATTTAACAACTCTATATTATTTTATTAGATATAATAATTGTTATGTTTTTAGCTTACACGATTACTGCGAATACAAGAACTTATACGACCAACAATTGACATATACACTTGAACGAACAGCCTGGAGTCCCGAATAGTCCTTTCTCATGCCTTTTAAGTCCAGAACACCAATCTCAGCTTCTGTGAATATCAATCATATATTTCAAACATACTCGGTTTATATACAAACCAAACAGATCACATTACACCATAAATAGAAAATAACATTTGTACAAGATCAAGCCAAAAGTGGCTATGATCATGAGAAACTGTTACTAATAAATGGTGAATATCTCAAGAATATTGAATCGTATGAAAGGAATATGAATATACATAATCTAGTCAGACAATAGTTATACAATAAGAATATACGTATTATATTAGTCCAAAGATAGATCCCAACAGTTACATTTCATTATTCTCGTCGGGATATAACAATAATATGAGTCAATTGACTATAGTAAAGTATTTAATCTCAGAACATCCGAGAAATAATAATATAATAGACTATATGAAGAAAACAACTTCGTTCTGAATAGTCTTTGTAATTAAATTAACATGAACAACATGAGAATCGCCTTATCATAATTTCTTCACTACCAACTAAATGAACTTGTAGAAGTCTATTTATCTGGATTAGAACTTTATACTCATTAAAATCCCAAATGACTATAAAACATGGGGATTAATTAGAGTCAACTGTTTATGGTTTTCACGATTTTTGTTTAAACATAATGAAAATTTTGTTTTATAGTTAAAAATTGAATCATTATTCATTAATGCATAACTATTCTAGATCATACTATATTACAGTTAATCAACTAACTTTTAAACAAACTAAAAATTTCTAAACTATAAAAACGATTCTTTCTCTTGAATAAAAGTGTGTTTTTTCATCATTAAACTTACTTTTCAGCCATTCCTTATCGATGGATATAAATTTGACTTGAGAATTTATGTTCTGCTTACTTCATGTGACCCACTACGTTTATTTGTATTTAAAGATGGCTTAGTACGTTTTACTACATGTTCATATATTGAACCAAATCAACGTAATGTACATGATATGTATATGCATTTAACAAATTATGCTGTACAAAAACATAGCGAAGGCTATATCAGAGATAATGAAGAAGGAGGAACAAAACGCCGGATTACAACGCTTAATCGATGGTTTAAAGATAATGGCTATGATGTGAAAAAAGTTAGTTGATATTTATGAATCTTACATACATAATATTTTCAGAATTTTGACGGCTCCATATATTAACGTTTTTGGAATATCAATGTTTAATGATTTATTCGTCTGTGAATTCTGGTTTTCCAAAAGTTCAAATAAACCAGAAGTAATGCATGAGTAATGTTTCACATTAAGATGATGAAGAAGATTAGAATCTTACTAAATGTGTGAAGCTTCTCAAGGTTCTAGAAAAAATGGTGATGATAAATGCTAAACGAGCAAAAAGCTAATTGTCAATTCGTTTTGTTCATTTTTGTATCGTTTTGTTGATCAGTTGATCCTCTGGAACACGTTGAAATTTCATTATCTATTTGTTTATGCTACAATCACTATAAGAATAATGTGTCTTATGACATACTGACAGCCGTATGTGAATCTCCTGCTATAAGCATTATAAATCCTACAGGATGCATGAGTTTATTTGGGTGTGAAGATATTTGGCTGAAACTCACAGATATTAAGTTCCTTTCTCATGTAAGACTAATAAAATAATTTATATATATATATATATATATATCCCAAACAAGCAAAAGTTTTGATTTCTGACTTTTTGTAACTTTATTTAAGTCACTTCTTCCTTGAAAAGTCAGGATTCCAAATTTTTACTCAGAAGGATATCAAAAATATATTTATTATTATTTCATTATTATTAACATTCTACTCAATGCCCAATTTATTTGAGATATTTCTATGTAGGTCTATTTGTAACTTTCAGTTCAACTGATAAATTTGAATGATTTTCTTTGTTTCATATCAACTTGTATTTTTATTTGCAAATTATGAAAGAAAAGATCAGATAAAGAAAATTACGAAAAATACAGACTAAATGAAAGTACATTATCATTCGCTAACTACAGTGCAAAAGTCGATTTAGTTACTCGCGATCTAAATCATATCACTTGTGCAACCAATCAACATCAAATCACTAGGTTAACAATCAAAACTTGACTAAATCGCATCTGAGACGGCTGTCCACCACAAGTAACCAAAAATCATCCCATGAACTGGCGAAACTCTTTACTTTACTTTATTGTATACTGACTCAATGGTCTAGAAGTCAGGAATCTAGGTTTGGAACTGAACGCCTAGAGTTTGACCTCCGGCGTTGGGGTCGTAAATGTGCACTACATAGGACTCCCATACTGGAACAAAACATCTGTTCAGTGCTTCTTCGTTTTCAATGACGGTTCAAATAAGATCAGTCTATGATGTAAGCTATCAAAATTTAATAATCTCCGCAAAATCTCTATACTGATAAAACCTTATTGTAGAGCTGACCATAGTTTTCAACCTACCTATATCATTGCTGATTACACAATACACGATCACTAATAGATATGATGTAGACATATATATTGAATGAAAACATTCAGAATTAAGCGGATAAGGTTAAACTGACTTAAAGATTAATTTACGATGGCAGTAATCAATGAAATGTTTCTCCATCAACAACAAATACTCGGATTTAAGTCGAAATCACTAAGTCTTGAAAATATGTTCACTTACTGCATTTATACTATTGAAAAATTTGTAAAGCAAACGTTATTTAGTTAGGACTTTTTATTTTCGAATTGAATTTAAATATTTACTTTCATCTGGTCTCATCTTGAAATAGTTCAAAACTAAGGTACAGTCACCATATAAAAAATCAAACATAGTCAAAGGTAGTTGGCGAAGATGTTCCCATAACAGGTTTTCTGTTTATTAATAACTAATATCATAAGGAAAGTTATGCTGCACAGAAATGCATACCACAGTTACTTAGCCTTATAATCACAAGTTACTTTTGAGAAATGACAGATGTATCAAACCTATTTCTAAACCAAAAACAACGTTAATGAGACTATAATTTATGGACGACCTTTGAGCGACGACAAAGTGACCTTGAGATTGTCCACCTACTAACTAGGACTAAATGAGGGTTATAAACCAGTATGAGGTATTAGAATTATGATTTAAAGTTGATGGTTATGGTTGGGAATTAGATTTAGGTTTTTCGTCACGAACTGACATAAGCTAAAATGACGAAACGCTATTTAGCTGAATGGATGATTGAATTTCGCGTCAAAACCCAAGACCTGTTATCTTAAATCTGATTGCTTCGTCCATAAATTCTAGTCTCCCCACAATATTTAGCTACAACATGCTCTAGAAACTTACTTAACTATAAAACAGCAAGTACAATAAACCATTGTGTTTATTTTTTTTATTTATTAATTACGGCACAAACATGAATGATAACCACTTAGTCAGCACGGTGAGCTACGGACTAATGATAATATGGATGAGCATAAGTGAGCGGCTAGCCTAATATTGAATAAAATATATTCAATAAATTGTATTTTGATTCTATAGCTAGCGGTGGAATCTAAAATGCATATCTCCTCCTACCTTAGGCTCGTCAAATAATTTTAATTGTATCCATGTGTTCATAAAGCTTAGAGCTGTGCTCATTCCTTTGAACTTCTTAAGGACACCCATTTGACTACAGAATGGAAATAATCATGCCATGTTCGATCTTTACTGTATTCACTAATAACTGTAAAGATTTGTATTTTTCAGGTTATCGATATTCTGGACTAAATTAGCATATAACTTCTAAATTAATAGACCAATGAATAAAGCTATAACATTCGAAATAACGGGTACTAGGCTGAATAATTAGTAGGGACATCAAGACTGAGATGTTGGTACATTCGGCCGACAAGTCCCAAATCAAGAAAAATCCACATCTTATATCCCACTTCTAGTCACAGTTTGAAATACAACCTACTTGTAAATTAAAACAATTTAGAAACATTGTTTAAAAGCACCTATATGTAACGACTCACCACAGATAGACTAAAGAAGCCAGATACGACATAAACACACTAGTCCATCCTGATTATAATCAGTACCAAAAATGAAATCCTAGTCATAATTACTAATAGTCTATCATTGTTAAATTTTTTTATTTACAAATTAAACCATATTTAGCTGACTAAATCCTTTGATTCAATCTAGATGATTCGAAAACAACTCCATTCAAGTAAACATTTTAGTTTCGTAATGAATTTCCGAATAGTATCTAGCTTATTATATTTTTATTCATTCAAAAATTTAAAAATTTTTCTGCAGCTCTTGCTTGTTCAAGTAATGTTGATGTTAATAAACTGTTCAAATCATGCCATTTCGTAAAATGAAATATTTCTCAGTTCATATTATGGTTTAACCTGTCAATAATATCATAGACAACTATCTTATGTAATATGATGTTCCTATAAACAACATATACATATACTCGATACAGATTGAACTCCGCTGGTCACGGCTTCTCACTAGAACTCCAGGAAAGCCATCTTGAACATAGTCACTAGTGAGCACATGATGATTATGGTCACAATGGAGGTTTATGAATATATATATATATATATATATATATATATATATATATATATATATATATATATATATATATATATATATATATATATATATATATATATATATGAGAAGGTAGATAGAGACTTCAGATGTCATAATTATTTCTTTCAGTTTAACAAACGATCAACTACGTAATTAGACCAAGAAAAAAAGACGATATGGAAATTTGTGCATATTTAAGCATCTTGAAATATCTTAAACAAAGTATGGTTGTAAAGCAAGTAGCATTAGAATGAAAATAAACATAAAGTGATTAGCTGTTCTGGAATCTAAGAAAGAGAAGTTAGATTATTTTATCAAATGAAAGTCTAACACATAATCAGAAACAGTAATTTCACACAGTTAGGTCCAGAACTGTTTATCGATTCTCTTTTACGAGCTGAAGCATTTCCTGTCACAGTCACTAACGCCATATTTATCAGGCTTTATTTTAACCCTGTTGTCGTTGTCTCCTCCGATAATATAAAAATCGACATTATTTTCAAATAGCGAAATCGAAAATGCATTACAACAATAATTTTCAGTTGAAATCAATATCCCACGATGAACTTTTTGTATATCATTTTTCAATTGGTGAGTTATTTTTTCTCAGTCCTCTCACTGTTTGCATTTTCATATAATCACGTGTCGAAACAAATAACACAATTCGAATTAGTAAAAAATAAATTTAAACAAATAATGAATATATGAAATAAATTCTGTCTAACTGTATAGTGTCCTTTTGACTATGATTCTTTGGCTATTTCACAAATTAACTGGCTCGCAAAGGCCCTGGAACGGCTGAGAGTGGGGAGAGTTAGCTCTCCTTCTTGAAGTGCTCTCACATAACCACGCGTATACAACCACAGTCAGGAAATTTCTACTAACTAATTTCTCGTGGCGGGGGTGTTGTCTACAAAATTGAGAGAACGAAAAGCGAATGTCCGGCTCATTAAGCGGGTTGGTGGACATGGAATGTCCACCTTGGGGAGTTGGAAAACCCTGATTTCAAAACACTGGTGCACATGGGCTCAAGGATCCTGAAGAAGCAAATAGCGTATGAACCTACTGTTGGCCACCGACTATCATGGGACTGCATCTCCTAAAGTTGCTCCATTGCCTTGTGGATTAGACATTCAGTTCAAAGGCTCGGGATGTGGCATTCGGTCTGGGCACCCGGGCAGTATCACAGCCCTCACACCAATCAATGATAACTGCCACTGACCTTATTGTGATTGTGTGGTGAGTATGTATCTGGTCTCCCATTGTACTAATGTTTATGTGTCTGAATAAATAAATAAATAAAACAAATTAACTGCTAGCCGATTCACTTTTACTAATTCGAGCATAGAACTATACCTTATAAGTGGTTGGGAGAAGTCGGCATGAAACCGTCCTTTACTTACTTCACAAACACACGTTTCTACCTATTTAGGTGTGTTCAGCAGAATGCACCTTTATAGTACCTATTGAATAATTTTTAATTATTTCTCTATTTGCTGTAATTTAGACAAGTAACACACTATGTTAAAGTATGTGTGAGTCTAATAGAACGCATATCT